AAGTATTTGTAGAAAAGACAGAGTGAAGCGACGGCACGTCTATGAGAGAGCGATTGTAGGCGAGATGCCGGAACAGGGCCAACCACATTGCATATCCGTCTCTGGATTTTGTCAAGGACGTTAAGACGAACAACGGGGCCTCCAGACCATATATGGTAGACAGTATTCCATGCAAGGGCGAATGGTTGATTTATAGATTTGAAGGATGCACTCGGGCGACAAAACCTTTCTGGCGCAACACAGAAAACCAACTTTCCTTGCGGTAGATGAAGCTATTGATTCAGTGTAATTGTTCCATATTAGCTCAGCGGACAGTGTGAGACCAAACAATCGTAGAGAAGTGCTCTCATGGAGTTGAGCATCAGACATTCTAATGGAAGGCTGGGAGGGTTCTCTGTGGTGGGTTTTGAGGCATTAAAGTTTACTAGCCATTTCTTTCCCCAGTCAACAACAGATTGGAGTTCCTTTTCGAGACCGACGGCCAGGTTAATTTTGTCAGCGATGCTGGATTTACTATTGAGGCAGGAGTAAATAGTAATGTCGTCTGCAAAGATGACCTACTTGGGGAACTGATGACATCGGGAAGATCGTTATTTGCAGGGAAATATAATTTTACTTCTTAAAATAGTAACCGAAGATATTAATTTTATTTGGAAAAAAACATTTTTCTCTAAGAAAAGCGATCATTCCGCTAGGCGGCAAAAGGATGCAGGATGTGAAAGAGAATGAGAATAGTGTGGAGAGGTGAGGAGAAAGGGCGAGAAATGAACAGGATTCGGGAAGGCATGTGATGTCGATTGGGTTTAAATTTGTGATGATTCTAGTCGGAAGGGAAGCAAGAAAACGGAATCGAGTTCCACAGGCGAGGAGTGCGAGAAACGAAACCTAATAGAATTGATCAGGCGCTTTCATCTAGCTAGTTTACAGTGAAGCGTTAAAACGTACGTGCCAATCTAGTAGCCATGCATTAAAGGCATGCAGTCGATGCACCAAAGTTGATAACAAATCGGAAAAATTGCCAGGAAGATATTTATAGAAAAGACAGAGGGAAGCCACATTCCGACGGTGAGAAAGTGACTGAAATCGAAATGCCTGGTCAGGCAATGTTACACGACAGAACCTTCTTTGGCTTTTGTCAAGGATCTTGAGATATAGTGATTTTCTAAGTTCGTCTTAGATGTGGCAAAAGGCCGAAATTATGGGGCACCCAGTGAGAATCGAACTCACTACTCAGTCGTAATTGATCTAGCAAGACAAGCTTTCTAACCATTACACCACGTCAAGGTGTCCCTATTGATTTTCTAAGCGAGGCTTTGATGTGGCACATGGCTGAATGTATGGGGACCCAGTGAGGATTGAACTCACTATTTAGTTGTAACAGCTTTAGCAAGACCAGCCTGCTAACCATTACACCACGCCGAGGATCTTGAGATGTATGGTAGAACCACTATATCAGATATCACAGTATTATTCAATACACGGACGGATGGTATATTTATAAATGTGTAAGAGGGATTCTAATGGGACAAAAAATATCTGGCACGATGCAGTAAACCAAGTTTTCTAGCAGTAGAGCTAGCAATTGATTCAATATAGTCACACCACTTCATATACATGGAAAACGTGAGCACAAGATGGCGCTGATACTTGCTTTACTAGAAGTTAGCATCAGCAGACAGAAAACGTCCTCCATTGTGATTAAATGCAATATTTCGGAAGCGTTAACATTTACAAGCTATTTCTTGACAAAGTTAACCACTGAGTGAAGGTCCTTTTCGAGAGCAGTTGCCAGTTTTAATTTGTTGGACCTGTCGGAATTACTACTAAGACAGGAATAAATAGTTTCGTTATCTGCATAAATACCAAGAATTATTTTTCTACAACATGCTGGGTGATTTTGCCGTTGAGAACCCAACCACTTTTTCAAAGCATCAGATCATATCAAGCTGTAAATTCGTCACTAAAAATTATTCTTGAGACATTCATCTTCATGTACTTATTTACCACACCTTTATTTATTTCTGGCATGTTCACTGAGTATTAGTTAATTGGTAATTTTCAACATCTTTTTTCTTATCGGAAGAGGCTATTTTACCGGTCCCGGTAAAAGAGACAAAAATGCTTTGAAGTTTATTTTAGCGGTCTCGGTAAAATACCCCCCACGCCCTAGTTATTTTGCCTGTAAATATTTTTTCTTGTTATGAAGGCAGGTAATGTTAAAATAAGAATACTCAGATTTATTAGTTTATTTATATTGGCCATCAATTAAGACAATTTAAAAGCTTTTCCACCATCATCTGTTAAAACACAAGTTAAAGTAATTTATTCAACATCAATTATTAAAAGAAATATAGAAATGGTGGAATATTTGAAGTACTTCAGTCTCTGCAAATCCAAAAGGTGGCATTGGCGATGGGTCTCTTGTCAATACAATTCAGGTGAACACACTGAAAACAACAGTCACAGACCGCAGGGTCAATGTTACTCAAGTCCTATCTACACGGCTCACACAAACACTCCGCTGACGATGTCAAATATTGCATATTCTTAGTTCTAAAATATTATTTATATTTACCGGCAAAATAGCCTTGGTGTTTATTTTACGGGACAGGAAAAATAGCCTATGCATTTTTTATTGGTGTTAAGATTCTAGATATTTTCCCGCAGCTAACATTTCATAATACACCTTCAAATATGCTACTTATTCTTATCTGTTTTCTGTTTTGTTTTTGACTGGTTATTGGGCTTTGAAAATGTGCAAAATTATACTATCGTCGGTCAACAGATCATCATCATCATCATCATCATCATCATCATCATCAGTCCCTTGACCGTGTGTGGTTCGAGGATCGTTATGCAGTTGAACACCTGATCTGATCTCTCCACATATCGATGTTGAAAGCCAAAGAGGTGTTCCTTCATGCGTAGAGATCGCCTTGGTCAGGGAGACGTGGCCATTGATTCAGTTGGGAGAACTCTCCATCTTGGCCGTTGACTTCAGTGTTGGAAGCCCTCCGCACAGCGATACCGTGTCATCAGCGAACTGTCTGGCGATTTATTCTGTAACATACAGAATTGTGTCACAGGGACGGGTTAGTGTTTTTTCAAGCGTAGCTTAGATGTGTCACAAGGCCGAATGTAAGGGGCAGCCAAGAACGATCGAACGTAATTGTTCCCGCGATAGAAGCTTGCTAAGCATTACACGGCCTCGAGGCGCCCCATCAGCGCACTGTCTGTATTCATAGTAAATAAACCTAATCTACCCTCCATTACACTACATGCACATCAATCCTGCATAAATGTTCATGTGCCTCTTGAAAGGCTTTGTTTTTAATCTTGCTGTATGTGTACCAACCCCGTAAGGATTAGTGGGAGAGTTATATTAATGAGTAATGACCCGACCATGCGACAAGTAGTACTGGGTTATTTACTACCAGCAGCACTGGTAGAATAAGCTAAGGTAAATGCTATATTTATCGTTGTATCATTCTTATAACCATGCTAATATATATATATATGTATGATGTCAGCTTAACAACCTAACTGTCAGGGTTTCAATTCTCGGTAGTGGATGCGCACTGCTGATGAGTCCCAAATATAGGACGAAACGGCCGTCCAGTGCTTCCTGCATTCTGTAGAGGTTTCTATCAGACTCGATGAATTAATTAAATTTATCAAATCCTCCGATTAATTACTAATTGTCTTTATCATCGCTTGAACCGACTTCTAATGCTACAGTAGGTAGCGGCTTGGTGATAGTAGTCGTGGCTCCAGGGGGCACAGTCCTATGGTAACAGCGAATCTCAGTCGAGTTCCGCCACGGAATATGTGAGCGAGCGGCGCTTTGTTGAGTCTGATTTGGAATCTCTTCGTCACCGAGGCCCACTTGGTATGATGTCAGCTTAACAACCTAACTGTCAGGGTTTCAATTCTCGGTAGTGGATGCGTACTGCTGATGAGTCCCAAATATAGGACGAAACGGCCGTCCAGTGCATTCAGTTTCGATGAATTATATATATATATATATATATATATATATATATATATATATATATATATATATTGATGTGCGGGTGGTGTAATGGCTCAGAATTGTTAATTGGGGAGCAGAGCTCGATTTTCTACTCAGGCTCGTTTAAATTCACTTACACAAAGAAAAGCTATAAGTACAGTTCCTACCCTAAGGGCTAAATAGACATAAAACAAACAGTTAAATAGTAAGACCTGTATCAGAAAAAAAATATCATTATCCCCCCACACACACACGCTAATACTCTTACCATCGAAAAAATATGTTTTGGCTTTAAATAAACTCAAAAAAAGTTGATAAGTCGTAAAAACGAAATCAATCAATCAATTGATCAGGCTCCTCACTTATTCGATCGTCTTGGACTCCCTATACAGTAGATGAAGAAATTGTCTTAAGCATTTAATATTGAGAGACTGTCCGTCTATACTATACGATCTGTGTCTATATTATAGCGGAGGTTACTGTAGAATACAGAAAAATACGTCAACCAATTGAACATTTCTTGGGCGTTGATAATGTTTTTCTGTATTCTTCCCAGTTTCATTACCGCCGTGGCTGCGGTCAACGGTATTCGGATTTCTGTCGTGAAAGGCTCATAATAGATTGGCAACTAAGTACTTGAACGTTGTCACTTTCCCTAAGGGTTCTCACATCATGATTATGTTGAAACTGATATATACAATGAAGTGCTAAAATATTAATTCTAAGTGGAGACATTGATAAAATGTACTCGTTATGTTGCTCAAAAGTTGAGGAAAGTATCATTGTGTTCATAAATGGAAAGTAATTTGCCACTAACCTTCTGGGCAGTAAAATTTATGAGATCACTGCACAAGGGTACGGCTTTTAAGGCGACATAATAGTAAACAATATTTTCCTTATTGACGACCGTACGAAATTCACAACGAGGTCCGTGAATGCACATATATATTTACAATGATATTAGCCACATGTATCTCCGCGTTCATTCATGTCTATCTATCTATCTATCTATCTATCTATCTATCTATCTATCTATCTATCTAAGTCTATTCCAAGATATATGACGTTTTCTTTCTTAAGCATTACCTTTTATTTATCTGTTTATCTTCATATCTATAAAGGGAAATCAATTTGTTTCTTTCTTTTTATTTTCTTTCTAGAATCTATCTATCTATCTATCTATCTATCTATCTATCTATCTATCTATCTATCTATCTAAGTCTATTCCAAGATATCCGACACTTTCTTTAGCATTCCCTTTTATTTATCTGTTTATTTTCATATCTATGGATGGAACTCAATTTCTTTCATTCTTTCTTTTTTTTTATTTTCTTTCTGGAACTTACCTTTTTTATCTATCTATCTATCTATCTATCTATCTATCTATCTATCTATCTATCTATCTATCTATCTATCTATCTATCTATCTTCTTTTTTCTATGTTCATAATTATCTGCCTGTCTCATCCCTATCATGTCTCTCTTTCAGAACTTTCATATCTCTATTTCAATCTCCCTCAATCTGTTCGTATATAATATACGCGGGCATTCACTTGTATATGTTTTATTTCTTTACAAAAAGAGATTACATATATTTTTCTATACGCATTAATGCTGTAAAGGGCCTGTGCGTATGCCGACAATGCAATGTTTTTCAGCGGAATCTGACATTCATTTGTCGTACGTATTTAAACATTTCATAACAAAAATCTCTTAAAAGAAGAATCCGCATAGCTTACCGCTTCTCCTTACCTACGCTATATATCAAGAAGATAAAAGAAATCCCCGAAATGGAGATAAGGCACTTTTCAATTTTCTTTATTATAATTACAACACAAATATCAAAAGAAAACAGAGTCGAAAAGGAGTGAAAAACATATAAACATCTGACGTCGTTGATTTAACATTCTGAATGCTCATTGGATCTTTCTTATTGCAACGTCAGAAGATATAAAGGAAGAAAAAAAATCAAAATGGCGTCGACGGCGAAGCTTTCATTCATTCCTCGCACGAATCTGCTAGCATCAGGACACAACTAAGATTACCCGTTTGTTATTGGATTGTTATATAATAACTGATATTTGTTTTCTAGCTTTTCTTCTCTGAATGAAATGTTTTAGGGAGGAAGCATATCAGTTTAAGGTAATTCGTGCGATTGCTTCACAATTAATAGCATATGATTTACCAATGACGTTGATGTAAGTATGACTGTCAAAAATCAAAAGAAAGTGTTTTTTTCTTCCTTTCACGTACTCGCTATCTCTTTCTCTATTGCACTCTCTACATCTTTTTCTATATAAATATATCGAATACACATGTTAACCGATAAATATCTATCTGCTAGACTATTTATCATGATATAAAATATATCTAATCAAATGATTTCAACAGTTGATAGAACTAGAATTTGATTACCGGCATGACCGTTATATAAGCATAAGAAAAAAAGAAGTACTGAACATTATTGTTATTATTATTATTATTATTATTGTTGTTGATGATGATGTTGTTATTTTTGTTTTTGTTGTTGTTTTTGTGGTTTTCGTTGTTGTTGTTTTTGTTGTTGTTGTTGTTGTTCTTCTTCTTCTTCTTCTTCTTCTTCTTCTTCTTTTTTGTGTTCTCTCTTTTGTCCTTTGCTAATGTTACATATTTTTCCTTCGTCCCTTTTGACTTCCCCACCTTTATCATATGTTTATCTTCTCTTTTCAACTTTCTGATTTCTTTTACGACTTTGTTTTTTTTTAAATCGTCCCTCTTCCTCTAACCTCTACTTTCATTCTTCACCTTTTCCTTTTCTTTTTCTCGGACTTCCTTCTTCTTTTTCTTCTTCTCTTTCATTTTATTTCCATTCATTATTCTGTTCCTTTTCCTTAATTTTTTCAAAATTTTTTAATTTAATAATTTCATTTTCTTCTATTTTTTTCTCTTCTTTTCTATTCTCAGTGTTTCGCTCGAATAATAATAATAATAATAATAATAATAATAATTGCTTAGAAAACATTTAATAGAAAAGGAGAAAAGAGAAACTTACCAGTATACTCAAGTGCTGAATCCTATAATGAATGTTTAATGTCAGCGATGACGTATATGGAAATTGACAAATTCACAGGAAAACAAACTAGGAAATGGATGACGAGAAAGAGTAATGCTAGCAATAACTCTCATCTATATAAAGAGCTTTACATAGAGGAGAGAATAGACAAAACTGAGGTGTTGAGGTATACATATAGCGGAAAGAAAGGATAGCAGATGGAGCAAAAACTGAACTGAAGATGGAGAGTTTAGTAAATAGGATTTACTGATACGATAATGCAAAGAATAACGGTTTTCAAGGAAGTATTTGGGAAAGGAATTTTTCCACTTGTAGACTTTGAATGGTTAATGATGAACATTACGATAAGTCTGTCTATATTTCTGAGATGAGGTATTATGTACATTATTTACATTATTCGGACTATTGTCCTCATCTTTGTCGCCATATTTATTACAACGTTTCGGCCGTTGTACGCTCCGGCCTTCTTCAGGGGGTTGGAATGTCGAACTGAAAGACACATGGAATAGTGGATAAAGGCGTTAGTTCAGATCCAGTGACAGAACCCAAAGAGTGTGAGTTCAATACCCGGTTAAGGCAGTGGAGAACTTTCAGAGGGAAATTAACAGGAGATGACTATCAACTGACATCCATCAAAAACATGGCATGTGGAACTAGAACAGTCTACCCCAGTGAGCGAAATAAAGGGTTCAGTTCGAAATTCCAACCACCTGAAGAAGGCCGGAGCGTACACCGGCCGAAACGTTGTGATAAATATGGCGACAAAGATGAGGACAATAGTCCGAATAATGTAAATAATTACGATAAGTATCGGAAGAAATACTAAATAATTCTAATCACACGTATATTCGTTGTGTGTCAACTTGTGTTCGATTTTTCTGTTTGTCAGCTTTTATAGTTCTGAATGATTCAGGCGCCAAAAATCCTGAACGGTTTTAAAATGGCTAAAATTTTGACGACTACAGTCATCATTTGCTGTTGCATTTTCCAAGATAAAGTTTTCAGAAATTAAGTATTAGTTGCTCTACTCGTATATTAAGTAACTTGAATATTTCTTCTTTCAATTTTTTTTCTTTTTTACTAGGAGTCCGTGAACATTTTAATTAATTAAAATTATCAGTAAATTATTATTATCTATCTATCTATCTATCTATCTATCTATCTATCTATCTATCTATCTATCAGTCTTTTTAGATATATCACTGTTTGCATCTATCTATCTATCTATCTATCTATCTATCTATCTATCTATCTATCTATCTATCTTTTTAGATATATCTCTGTTTGCATCTATCCATCTATCAATCTATCTATCAGTCTTTTTAGATATATCTCCGTTTGCATCTATCTATCTATCTATCTATCTATCTATCTATCTATCTATCTATCTATCTATCTATCTATCTATCCCAGTCTTTCCATTATCTATCTATCTATCTATCTATCTATCTATCTATCTATCTATCTATCTATCGAAACGGGTATTTCACCTGAGAGAGGATCTGCACTGGTTGCTAAGCAGTTCTAAAGATTTGATATGTATGTTGTGGCCCTTCCAGAAACTAGATTTCTTGGTGAGGGTAATTTCATGGAGAAATCTAGTGGCTATACGTTTTTTTTTTTTGGGGGGGGGTCGAAAGGAAAAAGGGAAAGATGGAACCAGGTGTTGCTTTTGCCATTAGGACATCATTAACTAGTCAGTCGGAAGAGTTTACAACAGGTTTCAATGATAGAATGGTCCCTATGAGAGTTCCTCTAGTATGTGGAAGATATGCAACCTTGATTGGTGTTTATGCACCAAGCATTGTTTGCACAGATGAAGTAAAGGAAGCTTTTTATAACGAACTGAAGTCACTGTAGAAGACAAAATTTTCATTCTTGGAGATTTTCATGCACGGGTGGGTCGCGACTGTGAGGCATGGAAAGTTCTTGGTAAACATGGGTCAGGAAAATGAAGCAGCAATTGTCTGTTGTTGTTGCAAATGTGCACAGAACGGGTTTTGTTCATTGGTAAAACAATGTTTCAACAAAAGAACAAATATAAGACAACATGAATGCACCTGGATCAAAACAGTGCCACATGATTGACTATGTTCTTCTGAAGAGTGGTGATGTACAAGACCTATGTATTGTGCGTGTGATGCGTGGGGCTGAATGTTGGACAGACCATCGTCTGGTAAGAGCAAGAGTTAAGTGTGTTGTCCGTAAAAAGGAAAGGCGGATAGAGGTATCACTTCCAACGAAGCTGAATATTAACCATCTGCAAGTTTCTGAGGTTAGACAGAATCTAGTCAAGAAGATGGATGCTTCAGTAAGTGAAAATGACTAGACTTCTTTCAAGAAGATAGTTTACGAGGCATGTGTTGCTATTGTTGGATGTGTTGTTATATAAGAAGTATCAAGACTGGTTTCATCAGAATGATAAGCACATAGAAGAGCTCTTGGAAGAGAAAAATAAACTCCACTCTGCATTACTTCATAGTGATTTACCTGTTGATCAGAAGACGGACATTGAGGCCAAGTTAAGGACAGTGAAGTTTGATATGCAGCGAAATCGGCGCACGATGTAGAACAAATGGTGGAGTGACAAAGCTGATGAAATACAGCTTGCCTCGGATGTGAAGGATAGTAAGGATATCTACAATCTACTTGGTGAAGTTTACGGGCCTTCTACTTCACCAGTTGCGCCTCTAAGGACTAAGGATGTCAAAAAACCTCTTTGAGATCCCGATGATATTCTGTTGAGATGGCGTGAACATTTTGACAAGCTTCTCAATAGGCACTCAAAGGTTGACGAAGAGTTTATCAGATCTACATCTGAAAAGCTTGTTAAAGAATTTCTCGCGATGCGTCCGACATTTGAGGAGGTTGAAAGTGCTGTCATAAAACTTAATATAAAGCTTATATATATATATATATATATATATATATATATGTATGTATGTATGTATGTATATATATATATATATATATATATATATATATGTGTGTGTGTGTGTGTATGTATGTATGTATGTATAGTTAAACTGAGAGAGCCAGACAAACCTACAAAGAATTCACGTAAGCGTATCGTCAGGGAAAGCTGGCTCCTCGCATCGGGGTTTTTTACTTTGGGCCTTGAACTCATATCCTGGACGATTATTTTCGGTTAATGTGCATGTTCTTGGTTCTTTCTTTTTTTATATATATCTTTTTCCCTTTGGTATTGGCTTGTTTATTTGCAATTCAATACACCGAAGGTTTTCCAAGCGAGTAAAGTTCCTTATACTTTATAAGATTTTAATAATAATAACATAATAACACACATAATAATAATAATAATATATATATATATATATATATATATATATATATATATTGAAAGTGCCGTCAGCAAAAGTAATATAAAGCTTATATATATATATATATATATATATATATATATATATATATATATATATATATATATATATTTATATATTAATCGTTACTCTCATGTTCTGTCCATAGTGTTCTCAGCATCCATGTATAGAGCCAGAATTCTATTGTCTTACGTCTCTTCTTCATTTATAATGAGATGTCCAGCATTTACTGACATATAGAAGGAATGATATTATATAACTGTTCAATGCTCTTTTTTTTTTGTTCTAAGGAAATTTTCCTGTTTTCCAAATACATTTTCGTTGCTTATCTCTTGGAAGGCGTCTTTCGCCATCCGCATGCCCCTTCGGATTTCTTCATCACCCTTTCTGTCTTCAGTTAAAAAACTTCCTTGGTATTTAAATTTTTGTATTATCTTGGTATTTGCACGTTGGGCTGTTCATTTATTTGACAACCATACATTCTGTATTCTTACAATTGACGGTTAGTCCTCGCTTCTGAGTTTCCTTTAATCATCTATAGGAGAGTTCCTGTAGCTTCTTTTCTGTGTCGTCTATCAACACTGCATAATCTTCATATAGTTAGGATTGTGACCATCAGTGATGAATCTTGGGAAAACGTCTAATTCTATCAGAAACACGTAACTGATAGGTTGAATAAGAAAACAGTTTCTGTCTTCTTACAATTGAAATGGCATCCATTTATTCTCTGCATTCTTTAATGCGTTCAACGCAATAATTTTACCCGTTTCCTAGCATGGAAATATTCTTTTTATAGCTATACAATATCTTATTACATTATGTTATCATTCAGTGCTTCTATTATTCTGGGATTGTTATTATAGTTGTCTCCAGTGGAAGTTATCCAAACGTGTTAGATATGGATATCTGGTTGGTTTTTCAGTTGGTCAACATTGTCCAATCCATTTCTCTCTAATTAATCTCTCCCTACAAAGGTTTCAAAATTATGACGAACCTCCCCACGCTGCAGAAATTATATATTTCTCCAATGGCGTCATAGTAATTCTTTCATTAGTTATAATTATGTTGTCTCCGAAATATTACTGTGTTAAATATAGCGGGGTTGAATAAGTGATCGTACACATAAAAATATTTCATATTTTTATTTGTAACATATTAAATTAAAAAAACGGGGATATATCTACTGTATCAAATTGCAAACTAAAAATGTATGCATGCAAAACTAAATAATATTCTATGGTTCTGAAAATATAGTAATATTTAAATTTTTAGGGGTTTAAAAAAATGATCGTACAGCAGAACAAAAACATGTTTTCTCCTTTTAATATTTTGTAGCATGGTCTTTTATTAAGTTCAACAGCAACCAATCTCTTCCTGTAGTCTTTAATTAACGATTCGCATACTTTAGTAGGTATTTTGTTCCATTTTTCCTGAGTAATTTTTTTAGAATCTTCTACTTTGAAGTACAACCAAAATCTTCCATATTATAATGCAAAAATTGGTACTGTACGAACACTTTTTCCACTATTCGAAATATAAAAATTTGCATAGCTATCACTTATCGGTGAATTTCTAATTTTAAATAGCAGATTCTGATTCTATCCCTCAAAATACATATATAACATTGTTATTCGAGGTTTTCATTCGCTATAAGTGAGAATAACAAGCATTTGTTTGATGTACGATGACTTATTCAACCCCATTGTACATGTCTCATGAGACAAAACTGTGAAGACGCACTTTACGTTAATCATAAATCAGATTTTGGAAGCAATGATTCTTTCATGTTTTATTGAATGAAAAGGAATGGATATTTCTGCTGAGTTTTTTTTTTTTTTTTTCATCGTAACGAATAAGTCTTTTCATGTCAGGTGAAATCTTGGAAAGAACTTATCGAAATCGTGTGTAATGCTCCGAGTAATTTAGACATGCTGGTCATATTAAAGGAAAGAAAGAAGTTAAGAGATGGAGTCAGAATTAAATGCCATTTGTTTTATTAGATTTTTTTTGATGTAAACGAACATTCGTTGCCACTTTTTAATGCCAATGAATACTCGTTGTCACGTTCGAAATTCTCGTTGTAGTAGAGACTTTATAAACACAGTCACAACTATAGTAACGCCGTTGAACAATACTGGTGTCAGACGCCTTCGAATATCACTCGCACTAATAGTACTTGCTCGATAATACTCGCTCGTATAGTGATTCGAATAGAGAAATAGTATAGTGAATAGAGTAGAAAAATAGTATAGAGTCATCCGTATAGGACAATATATAGTGATTAACATTGTATTTAAATTTTTGAAGGTTAAAGTTGACTGGGAGGCATGGAGCTGGACGTGAGTTCCACGAGCGAGAAAAAGAAACTGTAAGCATAGATGTTACGGTTACATTTAACTAATTCAACGGGGAATTGATGAGTCCTCGTCGCAAGTCTCTTTCTGCGTTTAAATTTTAAGTACCCTAGCAAAGAGCTAATCCGAACAATTACCAGAATAGAATTACAAGAGGATAGAATAGAAATAATGATCGTTAGTCGTCAGCTACTTCCTATATATACGCATTTCCTCTATGGTCACGTGGTCTACTTAATTCAATAATGGGATCGCCTGTGTTTGCTCACTGGCGATCTATGTTCAAACGCAAGTGTCGGCAGCGACATTTTATTCCTATATAAATCATTTCTTATTTACATTTACAACCATACAAAAAATGTGAATAAACTAGAATGAAAAAAAAAAAAAAACTTTAACTTTTACCATATTAGAAAGAAGTAATTATGAAAATAGTTTTATTCAATTTTTTTTTTAAATGACTGCGTTCAAGAGAACAAGAAAATTTAAATAAACAAAAAATATTTTCGCATTTTCAATTAGTGCATTTTAAGGGCAATTCTTTCATTTTCTCTCACCACTAAAGTAGTTTGTGAGCATCTAAATTTATATTTTTCTCTCGCGAATTCATCAAAAAAAAATGTGAAACAGAATTTATTTCTAACAAAAATAATATTTAATAATTTCGTTGTGAATTCTCGATATAATAAGAAATGCATACAAATCCAGTTTCTTTTTTTGAAGTTCGTAGTTGACAGGAAAGCAAGAATATGTAAGACAGTTGCAGAAGTGAGAAATGCGAGAGAATAAATAGCGAAAGATGCTATCGAGAAACTAAGTAACATATAAAGAAATAGAAAAATATCGTTAGACATTGGCGGCTGATGTCAAAACGAGCTTTATTGTAAAGCAAAGTATGACTTATTAATTTTAACGCCTCCAAAACTAAACTTATCTTTATTAATCCCCTAACAAACCACTATCTGCCTCCCATTAGAACGGCTGATGCTAACCTCCAGTAGAGTGACTCCTTGTGCTTATTCAGGCTAACTTACTTGGCTGACATGAAGTAGATAAAATATATTGAATCCATTGCTAGGTTAGCTGCTAAGAAAGTTAGTTCACTGTGTCTTTCTAGAAAATCTTTTCAGAATTTATCTTATATATCTATAAGACTACCATTTGCCAATGGTTAGAGTATTGATGCCATATATGGAGTGATGTTTCTGATATATATTTAGAGACACCCAAAGAAGAATCAGCAATATTATTGGTCCTGATCTGGCGATGTCAGCTTCAGTTACATCCAGACGCTGTAAAGTTGCTTCCCTGTGTCTTTCTATTGATACTTTCATGGTAATTGTTCGGATTAGCTCTTTGCTAGGGTACTTAAAATTTAAACGCAGAAAGAGACTTGCGACGAGGACTCATCAATTCACCGTTGAATTAGTTAAATGTAACCGTAACATCTATGCTTACAGTTTCTTTTCTCGCTCGTGAAACTCACGTCCAGCTCCATGCCTCCCAGTCAACTTTAACCTTCAAAAATTTAAATACAATGTTAATCACTATACATTGTCCTCCTGATTACTCTTTTGTATTTTCGCGCCTTAGTAAAGTTACTTTTTTTCTAATTATTCCACACCCAGTAGCCCCCTTGTGTTCCAGTAGCTTTTCTGACATGCTTGTGTGAATGCATAGTATCTGGAGGAGTATCAGGGATGAACAACGCTTAAATTAGAGGCAATCTTGGACCTTCTTGCTCGCAAAAACGCAGTATCAAAAGGACGGTTTTTCCATTGACACCGCTGTTATTTTAACTACCTTCACCCCTCGATAATGCTTATTAATTTAAAAAGCGATAATTAGATTTAGAATAAAATATAAAATAGGACAAAAATGAATTTATATGTTTTGTTCCTGAGAATTTGCAAATAAAATATTAAATAATATTTATTCATTGGGGTGTCTCTTTACAAGAATAATTTTATATTTACAACACTCTAAAATCTAATACAATTACATTAAAACTAATACTGTCTTCCTGATTACTCTTTTTTTTCGCGTTTTAGTAATGCTTCTGTTTTATAATTTTTCCACGCCCAGTAACCCCTTTTGTCTTAGTGGCTTTACTGCCTTGCTTGCGGTGTTTTTTATGTGCCATGCGTGATACACGATTAGGCGATCATGTATCTTTCGATACGTGACTGACGAGGCAGATTTTTCCCGCAGTAAGCTGTTTTTCTTTCTGTGGTAGACCAGTTGCCATCCAAGGCTATAGAACCCGGTTTGTCCTACTATTTACCCATAGCTTATGGGAGAAGAAGAGTGACATTTCTGCGATACTTAAGGAGGAAAAAAGTCTTTGAAAATTTAGCAATCACAGTGTATAATCAAAAGAGAGACAGAGTTAAACATTGTCCAACTCACCTAGTGCATATGCGTGAATATATAGTAGCGAGGGGTCTTGCAGGGACGGAAAACATTTGAATTTGTGGCAATCTTGGACCTTCTAGCCCGGCAAAAAAAAAAAAATAAATAAAAAAATAAAAAATAAAATGCAGTTTCAAAAGGACGGTTTTTCCATTGACACCGCTGTTGTTTTAACTACCTTCACTCCTCCGCAATGGTTATTATTTTAAAAAGCGATGAGTAGAGTTAGAATAAAAAATAAACATGATAAAAGTGAATTTATTCATTTTTCTTTTGTTCTTAAGAATTTGTAATAAAAATATTAAACACCATTTATTTATTAGAGTGTCTCTTTACAAGAATAATTTTATATTTACAAAATTCTAAAATCTAATATACTTATATTAAAGCTAATGCAGTGCAATATTTATCATTTTCCACCTTTTGAAGAAAAAAATATGAAAACAAATTTTTCTTCATAAATTTATATACATTTTCTAAGTAATTAAAATATATCAACCAACTATAAGGAAATCCTTATTATTTACAATTTTGTAAATCTCTAATCGATTGGCAATTAGCCGATGTTTTACCAACCATTCTAATAAACAATATTTATTTATTATTTATAAAATAATTAATGTAAGTAAACAATCTAATGAATAAATAAAATTTCTTATTTTTGTTGTCAATTCTAAAGAATAAAGAAAATGTAAAAAATTACTTTCCCCTGTTTAAGTTTTATTAAAATTCTAATCATCGCTTTTTAAAACAATAAACATTGCCGAGGATTGAAGGTAGTTAAAATAATAGCAGTGTCAAGGGAAAAGGCTTATCAATACTCCCTTTTTTTTTCGGACACGAAGATCCAAGATTGCCAAATCTTGTTTATATTTACAAAGTACAGGAAGTTATGAAGAGGCATGGTTACTCACGTGTAGAAGAGACACGCGTATAAAAGAAGTGTTACCATTGCTATATTTCCTATCTTTCGGCCTTTTGAATAATAGAGGCCTCATTTTAGACAATAAAGAACATTGTATTTTTCTAGTTTCATTTATTTCGTTAATTAATTTTTATTTAAAATGAGACCATGCTTTTTCTTGGCATTTATTTATAATTATACTTCAGACATTTCAATGAACGTATACTTCAACTTCACATATGGAAAGCAGTGTCAAAAGTTACCTACCTTCCTTCCTTTCTTTCTTTCTTTCTTTAGTTATTTCCATTATTCAATTTCACTCGTTTTATTTATTTACTTCTCTCAATTTCACTCATCTTCTTTTTTCTTTCCCTCAAATTTACTCATTTTTTCTTTCTTTCTTTCTTTCTTTCTTTCTTTCAATTTCACTCATTTTCATTTACCTTTTCTTTTTTTCTTTCAATTTCATTCATTTCTTTCTTTCTATTCTGCATTTTCTCCCATTTTCTTACCTTTCTTTCTTTCTTTCTTTCTTTCTTTCTTTCTTTCTTTCTTGCTTACTTACTTTCTTTCTTTAGTTATTTCCATTATTCAATTTCATTCGTTTTATTTATTTTTCACAATTTCACTCATTTTTTCTTCCCTGAAATTTACTCATTTTTTCTTTATTTCTTTCTCTCAATTTCACTCATTTTCTTTCATCTTTTCTTTGTTTCTTTCAGTTGCACTCATTTCTTTCTTTCTTTCTTTCTTTCTTTCTTTCTTTCTTTCTTTCTTCTTTCTTTCTTTCTTTCTTTCTATTCCCCAATTTCACCCATTTTTCTTTTGTTCTTTCTTCCTTTCTTTCTTTCTTTCTATTCCCCAATTTCACCCATTTTTCTTTTGTTCTTTCTTCCTTTCTTTCTTTCTTTTCCCCAATTTCACCCATTTTTCTTTCAATTTCACTCATTTTTCTTTCTTTTTATCACTGAATTTCACTCATTTTCTTTTTTACTTTCTTTCTTTCAATTTCACTTATCTTCTTTTTTTCCCTCAATTTCACTCATTTTTTCTTTCTTTCTTTCTTTCTTTCTTTCTTTCTTTCTTTATACCACTTAATTTTATTCATTCTCTTTCTATCCTTCTTTCTTTCACTCAATTGCAGTCATTTGCTTTCATTCCGTCTTTCTTTCAATTTTACACATTTTCTTTCATTCTTTCAATTTCACTCATTTCTTTCTTTTTTTCTCTCTTTCCATTTCTCATTTTCATCCATTTTTCTTTCTTTCTATCCCTGAATTTCACTCATATTTCACTCTTTCTTTCTTTCACCAAACTTCTGGCCCAGAAGCCCTTTTTCACCCCCACGCACTCGTCTCTTCCTTTCGACTGCCGCTACCTTTTCACAAGCGTGCCATCCCTCCCAAATTCTTGTCTCTTTTCCCATCCAACTTTCTCTAACGGCACCTCCTATTCTTTTTGGTGTGACTTTCATTCAGCCCATATTCAGGGAGCTAGTTTCTGCTGAATGACATGAAAATGTCAAGCATGATTTCAACTTCTATCGACCAGTTTTATTCGCATCCACTCTTTATATCATCTACACACATTCTCGTTTAAAGAAATAAAGAAATAAAATAAAATACATAATGACAGTGTAAGAGAGAAAGAAACGCAATAAAAAGCAACTCAACATAAAAACTAGTTTGTATAATGTTCATGATTTTATCACAGTTGTGGACAAAGATACCACTTTAAAATAGAAAATCGTAAATTACGAAATAACATCGATAGCTCCTGGCGCCATATTTGAGTGAAAGAGTTGATCTTTCAACAAGTCAAAGGCGGAATGACAGAAATATGAAGACAGGGAAAGAGAGACTTGTGTAGGGAGGAGTGGGTTATGTGACTGGAGTTGGCGGTTCGGAGGGAGGTATTCATCATAAATGTATCGTTGAATATAAAAGTGGAAATTTAGAAATAAAAACGGAATGATGAAAAGAGCGTAGAACAAAAGAAAGGCAAAAATGAAATGAAAAAGAAAATAGGTGGGGTAAACTTAAAAAAAAATGAATTAAGTCAAATGTTCTTTGCCTTCTTCAATCCATTCCTCTTCCAATATTGAAAAGAAAAAGAATTAAAATAAAACTTCTTGAAATTTGTTCACTGTTAGCTTTTGAATACAAGAAAATTCACGTGAATGTTGAGGACAAATGATCAGTTTTAGTAAGGCGAAATGGTGACATTCAAACGACGAGGTAGCTTCCATCTTTATTTATTTTTTTATTTATTTATTTTGTTTGTTTGGTTCGTTTCTGGAGAGATTTTTACGTTCGGATTTTGAATTATTTTTCACGATTGGTAAAAAGGAGTTACGAGGAAGAAGAACATAAAAGAAAGAAAGAACGGAAGAAATTAAAAAAGAAGAAAGTAAAACAAAATAAAATGAAGAGAACAGAAGGAAAAAAATAAAACAGATAAAAAAGAGAGTAAAAAGAAAGAATGAAAAATAGGGGAAAAATAAAGACAAAAAAAAGCAGGAAAATGAAAAAAAAGAAAGAGAAATAAAGAAAAATTAAACAAATTAAAAAGACATAAACAAAGATTGAAAAAGGAAAGACTGGGGAAAAATGATGAAAATAGAATAAATAAATAAATAGAGAAAAAAGAAGGGAAAGAAAGAAAGAAAGAAAGAAAGAAAGAAAGAAAGAAAGAAAGAAAGAAAAATCGGCAAAAAAGAAAAGAAGACAGAAAAGAGAAACGGTGAACGTAGAAATAAAAAGCGAAATTTGAAATTCAAATAAAGAAATATAAACAGAATAAAGAAACGGGAAGTATTGAGAAAAAGAAGATAAAGTCATGATGAAAAAAGAGAATAAAGAAAGACAGAAAGAAGGACAGATAAAATGAAGAAATAAAATACAAGAGAAAAAAGAAAGAAAAAAAGCAGCATAAATAAAGAAAAAAGCCAAAGTACTATGAAGTAAAAAACAGAAAAAAAAGAATTTATGAGAAGAACGAAGAGATGTAATATTAATGATGAATAGCAATGAAAGAAAAACTGAAGAAAGAAGAGATGAAAATAATTCAGGAAAATGAAAGAAAGAAGAACAGGAAGATAGGTAATAATAGAAAGAAGGAGTGGAAGTAAATGAAAAAAAAACAAAGAAAAAAAAACAAAGAACACGTAAGAGAGAAGAAAAAAAAGAAACCGAAAGAAAGAAGAAAAAGAAAGAAACCAAACGAAAGAGGGATAAAAATGAAACAGAATAAAAAAAGGATTATAAATGATCAAAAGAAAGAACAAAAAAAAGGAAGCATGGAAAGTAAGAAGAAAATAAATAATTAAAGAAGCACGAGAAATGAAGAAAGATGATCACATGAAGTAAGAAAGGAAGGAAGAAAGAAAGAAAGAAAGAAAGAAAGGAAGAAAGAAAGAAAGAAAGAAAGAAAGGACGGAAGGAAGAAAGAAAGAAAGGAAGGAAGAAAGAAAGAAAGAAAGAAAGAAAGGAAGGAAGAAAGAAAGAAAGAAAGAAAGAAAGGAAGAAAGAAAGAAAGAAAGAAAGAAAGGAAGAAAGGAAGGAAGGAGAAAGAAAAAAGAAAGGAAGAAAAAGCACAAAAGAAGGACTAAAAGAGATAAAAAAAACATAAGCACGAGAAGAAAGAAAGAGAGTGAAATTGAGTGTTTGAAAGAAAGAAAGAAAGAAAGAAAGAACGAAAGAAAGAACGAACGAAAGAAAGAAAGAAAGAACGATAGAAAGAAAGAAAGAAAGAAAGAAAGAAAGAAAGAAAGAAAGAAAGAAAGAAAGAAAGAGAATAAGCAAATAAAATCGTTCAGGGAAACCACAAGAGAAAAGAAAATGCCGGATGAAAGAGTAAACATCTGACGAAAGAATAAGAGAACACACACACACACACACACACACACACACACACACACACACACACACACACACACACACACACACACACAAAAAAAAAAAAAAAAAACAGAAAAAAAGGGAAAATACCTTTCTCCGTAAGCTTTCATTGGCGAATCAAAACATGAATGCAAATTTTCAAAAACGAAATAATTTTGCAGAAAACTACACAGAATAAAACATCAATGGCGCTTTTCGACTCAAAATAATTTTTGATTGTCCGCTAAAAGTCACGTAGTTTAAACACATTCGTCGGAGGAAGAGCCAAGCGTCAAAATAATTCTAAAAAAATACCCCCCCCACCCGCCAAATAAAAATGTTTTTGCAATAATGTAAGGATGCACGGTTCACCATGGCCTACGGGGTGTCGATTCAGCAGTAACCTTTTTCTCTTCATATGAGTAATCGCCGGTTTAGAAAACAAATTGAATAGGCGCTATGAAAGTCGGCTGTAATGCAAAATAGCTTCTTTGTGCCGATACACTAATCAGGTAATCGCAGAGAATTGACGATTGTGGAGCGCCAATTCCCTTCTTTTACGACGGTAATGAATTTAAGTGAATGCAAATCGTTCTATAGATCGATCGACAGATTTCTCTTTTAAACATGGGTTCTGTTGTAGCTATATAGTAAGTGTGCGTACCTCCACACATGCTTTGTCAGTTACATGCGCGCATCTTACGATATTATTAAACGCACTGAGTTAGTGTTGGGTGTGAAGCAAGAGTCTTTGAAGTAATGGCAAGTAAACGTTATTAAAGTTATAAATAACTTGAAAGTGGAGAGCAGACACGTGGAAACGTATGCCAACAATCTGAAAATATTTAAGAAGGTGTAATATGCACGATAAATTAGTGTTATCGGAAGGTGTTTTACGTATTTCAATACAGGGAATTATAATTCAATTTGTAACATTATGTGGGTAAAAGAGGTGAGATTTAATTAAAATCTATAAAAAATGAAAAGAAAAAAAAATCCCACTTTGTTAAATTATACCGTATTTATGAAATACAATATATTTGATAGGGTCAAAGTCCGTCCTAAAAGATCAGCAGAATATGAAGGTTTCTTTTTATTGGCCTGTGAATTGAAAAGCTATTAACTATCGAGAAGCTCAGTTTTTCAAGTAAAAAAAATAAATAAGGAACCCCCCCCTCCAAAAGGGAATTCCACCCTTCCAAAAAAGAATCCCCCTCTTCCAAAAGCGAATTCCCTCCCCGTTCCAAAATTTTTCGGTGTGATTTTAGTTTGTTAACAAGCAGTAGCCTGCTGAAAAAAAAAGAAAAAAAGAAAAAGAAAAGAAAAACGAAACAAAAAACGATGTAAAGTAAGTTCTCTCATTTACTGTACCCTCCCTGTCACTGACAAGTAGTTGGCAACATTTTTCTGTTCGGAACAGTATAAGTGACCAGTATAGACGCTATGGTCCTAAGCTATTTATTATTGCAATAAAAACCTTTTACATAGTGAGAAAGACGGCTCTTGACATTCATTGAGAAATCAAGACAATGTAAATTTGAGGTATTAGACGGAAGACAAGCGATACGATCCTCTACGTGACAACGACTGTATTTTTTTAAATACTTGTTAGGGTTACATATGCTGTCACAATGGAACAAACCAACTAAAATAGAACCAAGGCTGAATATTAGAAAACTACGTTTCGCATTTATTTATCATCATTTCTATCCGACAATTTGTCCTTTATAGTGCAATTTAGAGTTTATATTTGGAAATCTTGCAAAGTGGGGATTTAAATTTATGATTCTCACAGGACACTTAGGTATGGGTTAATTATTTGTAAAGCTATTCCGGGACATGAGTTAGATGTTCACTGTCTATCCGATACAAAATTCAACAATAAATGACCCAATGAGGATCAACATGTAAAATCAACCAAAATAACCTAAATCATTTCGTTTCTAAAAAGTGCTTCATAATAAAAGCGAAGTTTCTGCAAGTAAAGGAACTGACTTTCACTTTCAATATTCCTGCCTGAAATCTTCAGAAAATCCAGTCTTGTTTTGAATGAATTATGAAATGTTTCTTGACTTTTAAATTCCTGAAAACCTTCTGCATCAAATGCTGTCTTGGTTATCGATATTAAAAAAAAAAATTCTCGCCGATATCAATAGTTCTATTGATTTAAGCACTTCCATTTGTCCACAAATTGTAACTTACACCAATTTGTAAGGGTTTCATTAACAGATCAGATAGCTTCATATTTTTGTAGCTGACCACACTTAAGTTAATATATCTAGGCCTATGATATGATATATTATTCACACTATTGTCCTTATCTTTGTCGTCATATTGTACGCTTAGGCCTTCTTCAGGTGGTTGGAATGTCGAACTGAACCCAAAGAGTGTGAGTTCAATACCTGGTTAAGGCGGCGGAGAACTCATAAACACATTCTCTCTACATATGTTCTTGCTATTTGTTCGATTTTCGAGGACTCTTTCAATTATACCGATATTGTCGATATCGATCTGCTGATATTCTTTTACCATCATTAAATAGTACAGTTTCTATGCCTGTTCTATTTTACACTATTTACATTATTTGGACTATTGTCCTCATCTTTGTCGTCATATTTATTACAACGTT